AAAATTTAAATATTAAAAAAATTAGTAAAAATCTTCGCAGGCAAATTTGCCTGTGTTACAATTTAAGGGATAACTTGCTAATTATAGTTAATGTATTTTTTATTGTTATTTTTACTTCTACTATCATAACTTCCTGACTGACTATTTTTAACTTTTCGATCAGAACTTATTGACTGACTATCTCTATTTCTTTGATTATAATTTCTTGACCAGTTATTTTTGTTTTTTTGAATACAACTTCTTGACTAACTATTTCTATTTTTTGGGGTACAACGTTTTGACTAACTATCTCTATTTCTTTAATTATAATTTACTAAATCATTATTTCTTTGATCATAATTTCTTGACTAGCCATCTCTACTTCTTTGATCATGACTTCCTGATTAACTATAACTATTTCTTTAATTATAACTTTAATTATAACTTCTTGACCGACTATAACTATTTCTTTGATCATAACTTTAATTATAACTTTAATTATAACTTTGATTATAACTTTGATCATAACTTTGATTATAACTTCTGCTTGACTATCTCTATTTTTTCTATCATAACTTCTTAACTGATTATTTTCACTTCTTTGATCATAATTTCTTGACTGACTATTTTTATTTTTATCATAGTTCTTTAACTAAAAACTATTTTAAACATGTTCAAAATAATAAGAGTTCCTAGAAAGACGCATAATTTTGAATAGATATATATATATAAATATGCTGAATAATGTGAATATTACTTTTTGCTTATTTTAAAATTCGGATTAAAGTTCTTTTTTTAAGAATTAATTCAAAAAATATCAAAAAATATATTTTTTTTGTCAAAATATAATTTTGTATAAATAAGCTTTTTATTAATAACAATTATAGTTATAATATAAGTATATAAACTTATAAAGAAATTTTAATAATAATAATGAATTAAAATGATAATTATAAATTTTAATTCAAATATATATAATTTATTATTTAATAAAAAAAACTAGTTCTGCTATGTACCATAGTATAACTTAAAATATATAATACAGTATAACCTCGATATAATAAAGCTCTAAAGCTAAAGGTTTTTGCTTCATTATATCTATATTTCACTATATCAGGGTTTCTTGATATAATGAATTTATATATAATTTTATAAAATATTCGGTTTATAAATAATTTCCCTTGATATAACAAATTATATATATATATTTTATAAAACATTTGGTTTATATAATATGTCCCAATATAAGAATTTGATTGATAGTATTATACAAAGTTTTATTATACTATAAATATTTCACTTTATTAAGGTATTTGTTATATCAAGGTAATTTTATTATAAATAAGAAAATTTTTTCTTCATTATATAGTATATTAAGGTTTTATAAGTAAAATTTGCTATATTGAGGTATTTTTGTAATAAAAAATTTTAGCTAAAAAAAATCTTCGCTATAATACCAAATTCAGTATATTAAGATTTGTTATATCAAGGTTATACTGTAAAATTCTTTATTGGCTCAATTAGGAATTTCTTCTATATGTAATTTTCTTAATATAAATTACAAAAATAATGATATTATATATTGAGTATCAGATAAATAAATTAACTTTTGGATTAAGAAGTAAATTATAATAAATATAATTTGACTAAATTTATCTTGACTATAATATTAAAGGTAAGACTATGCTCTTATCTTTATTAAACTTAATGAAAACTTTTTACATAATTGGAAAAGGTTTTATATCTTAAGTCTAGTGCTAAGAATAAGAACTCAGACTAACTAAAAAAGTCAAATAGACAAGAGTTTTTTATCTGCAGCCTAAATCTACCAGAGTAGCCAACTTACCTAGATTTGAGATAGATTAAAAATATATGAAAAGTGTGTGTGGAATTAGATCCAGTTAGAATACCAAGATGATAGTTTTAAAAGAGATGTCTGTAAAGTACTATTAGGGTTAGTTATTGTAGGAGGTATATTAGTTGTAGAATTAGGTAATGAAGTTGCTTGTGATTGTAAAAATTGAGGTTGAGGTCCTTGACTAAATTAATCTGAATAACTAAAATACAATATTTCTATTAATAAGATTTATTTATTTTTTTTTTTATAATTCGGCAGTCTTGCCTTCACTTTATTAGGCTTTGTAATAATTATCTAAACTATTAAAATTTTCTACAAAGTTATACTCTGTAGTACCTAAATTACAAGTAAAGACTCATCCGGTTGCTCACTGAGTACCTATATGTGACCTGCTATAGTAAGATTTGTCTCTGTATTATCTTATCTTGCAATTAGCTTCAATAATACGTCACTAGCTGGATCTTACCACCCGTCAAGACTACAAATTAATTTTTCACTAATCTGCTCATTGTCCTTCTTCAATCCACCTTACAACCTCTTTCTTAGTTATCTCTAAAATTGAAACCCATCTTTTATCCTCTTCTTTATTTCTATCTTTTTTTTTCTTCCTAGTACGTTTATCTGGTGGTTTTTTCTTCTTCTTTTTTTCCTTTCTTGCCTTTTCGTGCAATTTTCTTTTATCTCTTGGCGTGATTTCATTTTTTTTCTCCCATTCCTGCACGAGTTTGCATCTTGCAACCCATATTCTTTCGTATACTTCCTTCATTTAATTTTTCCAAAGTCTACCTAGAAAGCTCTTTGCTTGGTTATTTGAGTTGAAGAGAGGTCTCAACTCGTCGAAGTCTTCTTTTGTGATTAGGCCTCTAATCCATCTTTCTCTTCTACATGATTCTTTAGTTTAGGATTCTTTTCCTAGCATTGTTAAAACTTCTTCTTTGGTTGTCTCCAAGTTTTCTAACTTTTTAATTTAATCAAGGTTGCCTCTACTACTTGTTTCTCCAAGTCTTGGAGAAGGTTCAGGGAAGTTTCACAGTTCACTAGGTGTTCTATATTCCCTTTCTTTTTTCTACATATAACATATTTGTCTGTCTTATATGTTTCCGGCCTTCTTTGATTGAGTTTTTCGAATACTGGGAGCATGTTGTTTATACACTTTATTTCAAAGAGCTGTAGTGTATTTGATTTGAAGATGTGATTTTGTTGTCTGGTTCTACTCCTCATTATGTTGCGCAGCATAGATCAAAATTGGGTGCTCTTTTTTTCTTGATAAGTTTTATTATGTATGTTATGTAAGAAAGCCTATTCTGCTTTCAATAACACTCTCCCATCATTTTAGTAAAGGAATGTATCAGCTTTTCAACTAATTTACCTTTCTATATATATCTTATTTTGTGACCTTTCGTATATAACGTTTCTAGGTTTAGATACTCCATTGACTTAGAGTCTTCTTTTGCTTTCAAATCTGCAAGATCATTGAATATATTATCTGAGTGACCCTTGAT